CTACACAAGTCGAGAGCTTACCAGGACGAGTAATTTCATAACCCGGCCTCCATACATCAACTGTACATCGCAAGCTCCAAAATGGAAAGCGGATTGTAAGCAGGCATTTTCTCTAAATTTCTGGGCTTTGCAAGTGCTTTCCAAGCAATAGTCTTAACTAACGCTGAAGACTTACCTCTTTGAAAGCGTAGTAGTTTACGTCAATGTAAAAACGGAAGAGTCAGCTAACGGCTCTGGAGTCCTTTAAAAAAATCGAAGCTTTTTAGGGAGAGTAGAACTCTTTTGTATAGAGTTAGTAGTTAATACAAACTCGATTTAGGCTGGATTTCTGGTTATCATAGAGTTCTCGAAAATGAAGCTGCTGATGAGGTATCCAGGGAGAATTTCAATGGAGGACCGGTTTTTATCCCAATCAAAACCAATTGAAAGCTAATTTTTCGCCGCAGTCTTTAGAAAACATGTCATAGGTAGAACATGGCACCATATGAGCTATACCCGCAAACACAAAAGAACACACAAATTATTGGAAAATTCAGACCTTACGTTGTAAAGTTCGTGATTGTTATTACTGGTCCTTAACCGGACCCACTACAGGAGGTTAGGAAGGCGTGTACGAATGACTCATACTACCACTTGGAGGCAGTTTTGCCCATTCGAAATTTTCACCTCAGCTATCGCCCAAGCTATTGAAAAAAGCTATCCTAAATGATTGAGACGACTTGCCTGCAGAGCCGGGCGTTGACATAAAAAGTTGGGAATCGATTCCGCTTCATCCTCATCCGGACAACTTCTGCAAAGGGAGCATTGCTGCTATAGTACAGTGCCCCGTGATGACATCAGTAAGAGTCCTTACTGCAGTTTTGTTTAGAGAGAGAGTTTCTCAGTACAACTTTTATTAAGTCTCGTCTACAAGAATCTTGAGCTCACACATTCGTCCCGATTGATCCATAGGTCATTAGTTATGGCTGTGGTGTATTCTTCGGTGGCTTCGCTAAATTTGTATTTCCGAGCCGTGTCTAGCCATTTCATCGGCTATGTCGTTCCCTTCTATACTGATATCTTNCAACTTTTATTAAGTCTCGTCTACAAGAATCTTGAGCTCACACATTCGTCTCGATTGATCCATAGGTCATTAGTTATGGCTGTGGTGGCTTCGCTAAATTTGTATTTCCGAGCTGTGTCTAGCCATTTCATCGGCTATGTCGTTCCCTTCTATACTGATATCTTCAGAAACCCATCAGATAGAGGTTTTGCCGTGAGCCAATGAGACTAGCGATGCACGACATTTCTGAACTGTTTCGTATTTAATAACCTCGAGCCTAATGGCTTCAATACCGCTGGGCTGTCGACGAATATAGTGACGTTCTCTAGTAGAGACTTACTATCCCGTATGAGACAAGCCGCCTTCTCTAAGGCAAAGATCTTTGCCTGAGCCACAGTTATCAGGCAGGCAGATCCGAGTCGACTCCTTTTTCCATCTTTGAGCTATCCGTGTAGATGGAAATATTATCATTTACTTACTGGAGGCCACTGTCCCCATCATCCCTGGTTGGAAAGTGTATGGGAATCTTAAAACTAAAGTCNTTTATTAAGTCTCGTCTACAAGAATCTTGAGCTCACACATTCGTCTCGATTGATCCATAGGTCATTAGTTATGGCTGTGGTGGCTTCGCTAAATTTGTATTTCCGAGCTGTGTCTAGCCATTTCATCGGCTATGTCGTTCCCTTCTATACTGATATCTCCAGAAACCCATCAGATAGAGGTTTTGCCGTGAGCCAATGAGACTAGCGATGCACGACATTTCTGAACTGTTTCGTATTTAATAACCTCGAGCCTAATGGCTTCAATACCGCTGGGCTGTCGACGAATATAGTGACGTTCTCTAGTAGAGACTTACTATCCCGTATGAGACAAGCCGCCTTCTCTAAGGCAAAGATCTTCGCCTGAGCCACAGTTATCAGGCAGGCAGATCCGAGTCGACTCCTTTTTCCATCTTTGAGCTATCCGTGTAGATGGAAATATTATCATTTACTTACTGGAGGCCAGTGTCCCCATCATCCCTGGTTGGAAAGTGTATGGGAATCTTAAAACTAAAGTCTCGGGATGTCGTGAGGTAACCCGTGTCGACATCTAAGTCGGTTCAAGACCGCTGCCCGTAGTTGTTTTGCTTCCACAATTTTGACTTCCTCAGCACAACAGCCCTCTTTTCGGCTGCGCCTGTTACAAATAATTGTGGTGGCTTCAAGTAAAAGATCATGTGAGGAAATCCGCAGCTTTCTCACAAATATTGAACCAAATGCGAAAAATATCAAACACTCGATTAAAGTAGTTCCTGTAGATGGATTGTAATTATACCGAGCCAATATTTTATATGATTTGGATGGCAAATCTTCGAGTTGCAAACAATTATGCAATTTATCTAATTACCTAATAGAACATCCAGATTATTCCAGAAAACGATTTGTACGGTGATTAATTTTTGAACGAATTTTCGCCAGTCCTTGGCAAGTTTGGTTTGTAGACAAAACGGTTTTGGCATTGTGCCGTCTTCAATGCCATTTTTTGTTCTTAACAAAGTATGACGGAATTTCGTTGCAAAACAAAAAAAACAAATAATTATCATCCCATCCTGTCGGCGTCAGAACATAGTGATATCACAGGAAACTGTGCGGCTGACGAACTGGCCAGNTTTTTTGTTCTTAACAAAGTATGACGGAATTTCGTTGCAAAACAAAAAAACAAATAATTATCATCCCATCCTGTCGGCGTCAGAACATAGTGATATCACAGGAAACTGTGCGGCTGACGAACTGGCCAAAGGCGAAACACTTGAGGAATTGTCGCCAAGAAGAGAGATGGTGAAAGTTCTCTTGACTACTTGCGTCGAGGTCCGAAGGTGGAACGGGCGCGCTCTAGGGATCCTTAGGCCCGTGGAGCCTGATTTCTCAATTCTAGTGGGTGTACTGACAGGTCATTGTCCTATGGGTGTTCATGCAGTGAGATTCAATATCTTACCGGACCCCTTTTGTCGCAGCTGTATGGAGGACGACAAGGTGGAATCATCTCAGCATTTTCCCTTAGATGAAGAGCTCTTGCTAGATTGCGACTTAGGTACTTGGGTTCAAACTTTCTGACAAGTCCAGTGGTATCACAAAGGACCAACGTCCACGGTCTAAGTTTGCCCCTTAACAAGGGGCAGCCACCTAAACCTAACCTAACTTAACCCAACCACTCTCTTTTGGAAAACCAGTCAACTAATAAACCATTTGTAAATTGACTGGGGTGCACATGAATTAAACGTTGGGAACCACTGACTTACCACTAGTTCCTTTGTGCCTTCATTTGTGCACTCCAAGCTTTCGGTAGCTTCTTCTTCGGTGAAAAGTACTTTTCGTATTGTTTCATTTTCATGTTTCATTGCATGAGACTCTCGGAATGTCGACTTGCAACAAACAACAACCAAATGCCACCCACCACCCAAGCGACCGGCCGGCGTCTGTAGCCAAATACAATAACTACAAACACTAATATGTACGTTGAAAAAAGTTGAGAAAGGCATAGCAATGAGTGGATACTCACAGAAATTTCGCTACGAACACTAACTTTGACATTGTGTAGGGGTTTTTTTTGGACGCGCGACCAAGCAAAATTTTTTGGTGGAAGGGAGACGAAGCGTAACAAGGATACGAGTTTCGCCGGCGAACAGTGGCCGGTGCCGTTGACNCAGAAATTTCGCTACGAACACTAACTTTGACATTGTGTAGGGGTTTTTTTGGACGCGCGACCAAGCAAAATTTTTTGGTGGAAGGGAGACGAAGCGTAACAGGGATACGAGTTTCGCCGGCGAGCAGTGGCCGGTGCCGTTGATGAGTTGCGCAAGGAAAACTTTTTGTATACACTCTCGCAAATGCGCTTGAACGCTTAGTAGACGCTTAATATGTATTTCTTCATGCCATTCTTCGTGGAAGCGTCGCAGCGCTGACGATGGCAAAGGCACACCGGCCACTTAACTTAAGTATATTTGCGGCTGGCAAATAAAATTGGCATTTCCATTCCGATTTCGAGTCTAAATTTTGCGAATTCGAGTAGAAATATTAAATACGCGCGCGCATACACAGAGGCATACGCTAAGAAAAAAATGCAAATTTAAATTAATACAACAACATTTGTCCACAATTTGTATGGTCTGTGTGATGCCTTGGTTTTGCTAAATGAAGGCGCTTGCCGAGTGCGGTGGTAATAGTGGAAAGGTATTACCCCAACGACATCATTAGCGCCAACAACCTCCAACAGCAACAGCGAACACTGCGGGGGCGGCAGACACTTCGATTCACTTCGATACGATACACCAACTGCAGTTAGTCCAACAACGGCTCCATTTGAATCCGAAATCACTCAAATGTGAATTCAAATGTACGCAAAAGTAAAAAGGAAGACTGGCACACCATGAGTGGCAAATCAGTTTCGCAATACATACACAAACAAAAGGTGATGATGAGAAATTTTTTCATTTCATAAGTACTTAGTACTTACCCACAAAGCGCATTGTGCTTTTTCTACACGCAGTGTTAAAAGGATAATTTAATAAATAGGAAGAATTGCAATTATATTAAAAAAAATAATAATTTAAAAAAATAAATTGTTCTTGTTTGCGGTAGTGAACATGAAAAAATCCTTATTGTGAACGGCTGCAAGGCTGAAATAAGACAATGAATGTGAATATCGATTATTTCGATTTTTTTTTGTAACAGAGTGATAATTTTTGCGACAAATGGAAAGTGTTTGCCACCCGCTTGAAAGTTCAAATGGTATAAAGTAAAAAAAAAAAACAACACATAGTAAAAATGGGCGCAAATACATTTGTACATAAATACAATTAAAACATTGTTAAAAGAACAGAAACGTGTATGTAAATATGCGTTCTGGGTAGAGCGCTGAAATCAGGAAGCAGCTACGTAGCTGTAGTAGCGGCAAAGCGCCGCCACGGAAATACTTGCCGGCTGGCACCCCAATAGTATCTATACCTACAAATGGCGGCGCTTCTTCTGTGAGAAAGCCCGTCGAAAAAAGGAAAAAACAAATGTGGAATGAATTTAACGAAAAATACCAAAAATACGAATAATTCGCTCGACTTAAAAAATTCAATTGAAAGTGAAGAAAAAAGTAGTGTGATAATTCAAAGAAACAGGTCTAACAAAAAAGCGTTTAGTTAAATGAAAACAATAGAAAACTAAACACTATGCGCTTTTTTTAATTTACAGTTTTCAACGAATCCATAAAGCATCTAAATATGTACATATTTACAACAGTGCATACATAAATTGCAAGTCTCCCATACCATATATCCTTAAAGCATTACCTCACATGCCTACATACAAATATACGAGCATGTTTGTAATTTTGTCCGCATAAGGTTATTTCATTGTTCGGGGAGCATTGCTCGCTTTTGCATAAAATTTTTCTGAAGAACTTTCACCTCATACCTATACACAAATCCTGACGGCAATGAACAGCTCAACCGGCATATGCATAAAAATACTAACAACAAATTTTACGCACACCTACAGCACACAAGTACACATGCACTCACACACCATTAAATTTACTCTTCTATGCATTTCCACGAAATTCAGTGGGTACATACTTGACGAAGTGAAAAAGTTGAAATGCTCCAGGAAAAGCTCATTTCATTATCCAATATCAACATTCATATGAACATAAATATAACGGTGTTGTAGCCAAGATTGTACCAAATAATTTGCGCCCCTTATGAACAACAATTAAAGTTCCAAAAACAACAATCAACAATAAAAAAATGCGCCCCAAAATATGTTTCACTTCCCCAAACATTCCAAGGGTAAAATGACTACCTTCGCGGACATGAATAACTGACAATGAAACGGAAAGTGAGTGTAAGTGGATGAGAGAGAGAGAGTGAGAGAGTGAGGGAGGGGGAGAAGGAGAGGGAGAGAGAGGTTAACTGCGAGAGAGCGAGAGTATGAAAGAGAGCAAACGGTAGAGGTAGCGAAAAACGTGAAACAAGGCGAGAATTTGAACTTGATTTTAAGTGAAACACACGAAATGAAATAAACTGAATTTAGCGGCATTAAGCAGGAATTATTGAATAAATCATAAATGCTGAAAGCGCGGCAAAACGTATGCTTTTAGGCGCTAAAAATGATTTTATATATACATACATATCGTTGCCTTATAACACACAGGCCCTGTTTAATTTCATTGCCAAATCAAGTATTATACAAAAGTCTGCCGATTACTTACTAAAAACCTATTGGATTTTGAAAATAACTTCTACAACATGAAATTAGTTGCACTCCTCAATAGAAACAGCCTTTAAAGAAAATCGCAGCCAAATGGACTTGATTTCCTATGGAGCTTTTTCATCACTCCGTAAAGAAAAAAAAAAAACATTTAGATAGGGCCTCTCTATATTAAATTAACGATATGTATTTGCCTACATAATACANTTAGATAGGGCCTCTCTATATTAAATTAACGATATGTATTTGCCTACATATGAGTATGTACTCAAGCGCACTAAGGCTACGCTTTGCTTTGCTTACTTCCCTGCTTTACTTTCCATTCTCCATCAATTCGCCTTTTCTTTATTTATTTTCAGGACGGTACCGTTAATATGGATAAAATGACGGTTGCCCAAAAAAATGCATACCTTGAGGCGCACATGGCTGTACAACAACAAATGGCGCAAGCAGCAATACAATTTAAGCAGCAACAACAACAACAGCAGCAGCAACAGCAACAACAACAAACGTCCACAAATTCTTCACAACAACAGAATTCACCCACAACCAACAATAATAATAATAACAACACTAATTCGTCGCAGCAGCAGCAATTGCAACAGCAACAACAACAGCAACAGCAAGCACATTACGCCAGCACGATTAAGGTTCCACAAATAAGTTCCTCTAGTTCGGGTGGCGCTGAGAGCACTTTCACAGTACCCGACGATGTGGGTATGGGCTTCGAGGGCGGTGTACGCGTACTACAGAGCTTAGGCAGTTGGTCGCCGGATAATGTTACCTATAATATACCTAAACCAAATTTAATACCATTTACCGAACCGTATGTTGAGGGTGGTTCCATGCATCCGGCTAGTCGACTAAAGGCATTGCAACAGGTGCAGCAGGCCTCGTCGGGAGTGCGTAAAACAAATCCATCTAAAAGTGAGTAGGATCGAAATGTGTTTATTCCTTTTAAACATGTATTTTTTTTAAGAAACGGGCAAATTAAAGTGTAGAAAATATATTCCTGCCTATTCCGCTATCATACGGATGCTGGTCTATAGAAAGAATCTGTGATTTTTCAGTTTAAAGCGTTCAGTCTATGGAAGATTAACTAGAGGCACGCAGCTGACATTTCCTTTGTGGTTTAACTTGAGTAATAAGTACACCAAAAACTTTTCACCGAATCGCACGGCCCACAGTGGGAGATCCCCATGAGTTGGTATTCCTTATGGTTATAAATCAAGAAAAATAAGAAAAATGGGCGGGATAAGTTTATGTTACAGCATACCTCCTATATAAACTTAAGCTTAAAAACGCTCGGAAATGCCATAAAAAAGGCCATCAATGAATATTTGGCGTAATCGATTTATTTTAATGCATATCCTCGAAAAAGCCTTAAAAACGCTCATTAGGCTTATTAGTAAAATGAGTATCTACAAAAAGTTTGCAGATAATTGTAGCTGCAATAAATTCGATATGAGTCCTCTTTTAGTATAAAAATAATTACTGCTATATCACAATAAAAATTTTTTGTTAGAATGATATTCGTTTGAAAGGTATGTCACTTTAAACCGCTGCCTACTACCGCTTTAAACAAACTTGAAATTTTATTTGATGTTCAAAGGGTGTAGTATGAGTAATAAATATATGTAACTAGTAAATCTGACCATTTAAAATAATTTTTTCCGCTCAGCCCATTGCGCGGTTCCATACCATAAGCTAACTCTGAAAGAATTTAAAAAAACGAATGCAACCCTGCTATGCAGGAAGCTATTGAAGTTAGCATTAAAGATAAAGACAACTCCAACAACGACCGACCGTTCGACTGCCATTATAAAGTCCGTGAAATGCGCATTCCCATTCTTCTGTAGGAAATAAGATTGTTCTTTGTGAGTGCACCTTAGCGACGTCAAACTTTCGTCGAGCTGCCTAATACACATTTTTTTTTTATCGCACAGAGGAGCATTCAGACCTTAGCTGCAATACGGTAGTGAAGCGAGTCGATGTTGGCTCCTCTCCAGGATGGAACACACGTCGCGTTCTGGGTTCATTCCGTGAGTCCGTAGAATCGCTCTTTGGTCTTGATTAGTTTCGAATTGTGGCAGTGCGTTCACTAATGGGGATGAACCTGGACACATGGTGTTGGAGTCGCCTCACCACTACAGTGCGGTCGTTCTTCTAGATACACAGTCTTGGTTAAGAGACTTTACTCAATTCCGACTCTTATGTGAGCGGTGAACGACCCGTATGAAGCCATGGGCCGTATTACATAGAAAGAGAAAGATTTTTGACGGTGCAACTAAGACTCTGTGTTGCGTGCTTGCGTAAAAACAAGTTATAATGAAAAGATCGAATGCATGTATTCATGCGCATATGAGAAAATCTCATGAGTTAAATTTTTTGCCAAAAACGTCTTTTTAGATGAAAATGGTGGCGCACTTATCTTAAACGTTTTGCGTAAAGAGCAAGATTCCCTCGCGAAATTGTATTTAAATGAAAACTTAAAAAACATATACTAAAAAGAAGTATACATAACAACTCGTGTTCATATACCCGTAGTTGTGTATGTAAAATATATACGCCCCGTAGCACCGTATACAGTCAGCTACCAAGTTTACTTGCACGCCTTAACTTAAAATTCATATAATTTAAAACTAATTAAATATGGGCGTGGAAGATTTTTACACAGTATTCCCAATACACATATGTATTAGTTTCTTCATTTACATATATACAAATTTTGGAATGAAGTTCGAGTGTGCCAATAAAAATTGTAAAAATGGAATTTTACTTTCTCGAAGCATAGTAATCTTTTTACTCAATGTAATTTTTTTTCATTTGGTGGCACACTAGCTGTATTACACTAGATTCGTCCGTTTTCGTAGGAGGGTAAGGCTTCGTCAAGTGAGCCCCGAATTTACCAAGATTAATATTTTTCAATGATATTCAGGCAGCGCCGAGTTTTGTGGTCGAGAAGTACACTGTGTAAATTTTGTTCCAAAATTCCAATTAGTTTTGTTTTTTAATCAACAATTAAAACATTTTGAAGTGTTTTGGAAATTTTTATTTTTCTTTGAAAGTAATGCCGTATTTCCACTAGGCATTGAAATGACAAAAAATATATGTAATTTAAAAAAATGCCATGTGGAAATGAACTTAATGACAATTTTTTTATTGTAATGACACGATTATTTTTTAATGCCCGACTTTGTCATTTGTCATTTTTGCCATTTAATGCCTAGTGGAAATCCAGCATAAGTGTCAGAGTGAAAAATTTTTTTTGGGTGCAGATTTAGAAAACTTTAAACTGTACAATGAAATTATTTGCACAGTGGCTGCGAACGATATTCTGCATGTTGCATTTTTTTTTAGTTTGGTGGCACACTCTTTAAACTTCACAGATATGTTGTATTTGATGCCAAAGTCTATTGCTTCGAATATGAGCATTCTATTTGAAAACTTCGCAAAGTAAAAAAAAACACAATTATGATTTTTTCGAGTGACAATGAATAATGAGTAATTTCGGAACTTTTTCGCCCAAATAAACGTTTTAAGGCAAAACTTGTTCAAATACTTGATTTATTTTTTATTGTGCTTGTTTCTGCAGCTCCATTGATTGAAATATATGCAAGAAGAATGCTTTGGCGTTCTTTTTTTTTGGTGAAGAAAGGAAGTGGCACTAAAAAAATATGTAATAGCCCGTGAGATTTGCTTATACACATGAGACATTTGTGTGTGGGTAAAATCTGTTAAGTACCAATTTACTACCACTCTGCACAAATTATTGAACACTTTAAGAATGAGGGGGGGCGTACTGCGAACTGATATACATACTATATACATATTTATACTAGGAATATTACAATCTTTTGTATTTTAAGACTTTTGCGAAAATATTCTATTTAAGATTTACGTGAGCTGGACCTAAAAAATTAAATTTTTTTTATAAATTATAATGCGGCATATTCTGGATTTCGTACGAATCGAAAATTGTACAGAAAATGATAGGAAAATTTCATCATTTTCGATTCGTACGAAAACAAGAATACGCCCCAATAAATTTTTTATTTCCATTGGAAAAACAGTACCGATTTTTTTTTTGTGTGGTGAGTGATTTACTCTAATGTACATAAATATTTAGTTACCCCCACGATTTAATTTAAATAAACACTTAAAATTCTAATTGCAGATCCAAACAACAAAGCTTTCGAATGCACTGTGTGCGGTAAAGGCCTCGCCAGGAAGGATAAGCTGACAATACATATGCGCATTCATACGGGCGAGAAACCATATATTTGTGAAGTATATAAAATAAAGAAACACCTATACATTCACATAAACAAAATGAGCAAAATATTAACAAACAAATCTTCCCACTTACAGGTGTGCAATAAAGCATTCGCTCGACGCGATAAACTTGTGATTCATATGAATAAATTCAAGCATGTGACGCCAACGAATATAGCGCCCTTGGGCAAGCGTCTCAACAATATGGTGAAAAAGAAAGAGCCCGAACCGGAGGACAATAAGCAAAATCTGGAATTGCAACTGCAACAACAGGCCGTACAAGTGGCCACCCAGAATATTATAGTGCAAACGACCAGCGGCCAGCATAGTACACAAACCACAGCCATACCAGGCATCATCATACCGCATCACCATCAGCAGCAGTTGTCATGGACTTGTGAACTATGTGGCCGTATGTTCTCGAGTCGGGACGAGTGGACATTGCATGCCAAAAGCCATCTAGAGGTGGGTTGGTTGATGGCGTAAACGAAGAACATTGAGTGAATGTTGTTTTTTTGTTGGTTTTTACTCATATGTAAGTATGTTTTTGCTTGCAGTATTGACAACAGGAACAGGAAACAATGGAGGAAATAAAAGCAACAGCAACAACAGCCAATGCAACAAAGCACCACAGCTTTCAAACTGAGTCCAATGAAAATGCAATGCAGGCCGAGGCACGTAGAGAGAAAATCATCATACAAAACCAGATGATTATAAGTACACAACAACAGCAGCAACAGCAACAGCAGCAGCAGCAACAGCAGCAGCAACAGCAACAACAGCAGTCGATTATTAGCAAAAAGTTTAAGAAGCTCACACAAGCATCAAATTTATTTTCCACTACAGCAGCTGTTTCAAATAACAACAACAATAACATAGGCGGTAGCAATAATAATAATAACAACAACAACAACAATAGCAACAGCAATCGCGCTCAAAATGAAGTAACTAAAATTAGCCAAACATATTTTCTCTATGTGTTTGTATGTAGTACAATGTATCGTTTTCACCCCAGTGATCCCTCAACAGCAGACACTCTTGTTTCTTAGACAGTAACAAGTCACACTTGCCCTCCCCCTGCCAACTTCCCAACCTCCACCACCTACAGCGCCTTTTCATTACAACTATCTTATCTTTCTATGTATGTACGTATGTATTTATTTTTGTATAACATTAGCTACGCCTGTATGTACATATTTTTCTTCTTCTTCTTCTACTTGAATGTTTACCAAACTTCCAACCTCCTCTCCACCTTGCCCGCTACAACTCCAGTTTAGTCACCACTTTCACTAACAATGATTCGCTTCATTTCCACCAGATTTCCCATTTATTTGCACACTCCCCCACGGCAGCTACATACGTCCAAGCGCAACTAAACGGCATCAATTTTACTGCAGATAACCAAAATGTTGCCGCCAACGTCAACGACGTCAACAACATCACCGCCTCAGCTAATAACAGCACCGTCAACGCCAATATCAACACCATTTCAAATACCAATATCAACTTAAACGCCACCATCGCCAGCCAAACAACAAGCAACACTAACATTGTCGATAGCGGCAACGGTGCGGCCGGTGTACCGGTCGTCACCTACAATGGCAATCAGTATTGTGTAATCACTCGCAATGATGCAGGCGCCGCAGAGAAATCGGAATTGCTACAAATTCATGGCCAATTTACCACCGACAAGGAGGGCAAAACGAATATCATTCTGATGTCGCCGGTGTCGACGATGCCCGTTACGATGCCGATGCAAATGCAGATGCACGTGCCAATGCAAGTGGAGGTGCAAAATCCAAACTGAATGCGAAATGGGTGGCACCACAGCCGGCTGTATGGGGTGTAAGGCATTGAGCCGAAATGGCTTAACAGGAATGGAAGTAGTGCATTTGTTGGCGGTAATTGTAGGAAGCCAGAAGGCAGCGTGGAAAAACAGCCAAGGCGGGACAGTCGGGCAGCCTGACAGCCAGGAAGGCAGAGTGATTGTAAACGAGTAATCGAAATCAACAAATCAAATGGTTTTCCAAATTTTTACTTTTTAGCTTAAGTGGAAAGCATTAAATTAGAGTGGAAAGTAGTATAAGAAACAAGTTAAGAGATGTGTACCGAGCATGTAAATATTATACCCAACGCATACAAGCGCGATATAATTGCAGTGAAAAGGATTCATATTTAAACCCAATGGAGGCTATAGGAATGTTGAGCGCCCGAAAACACATAAATGTTGTAAATTATTCACCGCTATTTAAACGATTATATCGAAGATCGATTAACCGGCGATTCAAAGTTAAATTTTTCATTTTTTTTTTTAAGAGTATATACAGGAATAGATTTAAATCAGTTATCGCCCTAAATATACATTTTATAAAAATATGCGTAAAAAATGATTTAGAAACTTGGGAAATAGATATTCAGATATGTTTCGGGGTTTTTTCTGAAAATTTTTTGGGGATTTTATTTTTATTTGCAGGTTTTTCCTGGACCTTTTAGGGTTCATTCAGGACTTTTCATGTTTTATTTTGAGCTGAATATTCCTGAAAAGCAGCGAAATAATAGTCCCTCGAACCGAGATTTAAAAAAAAAAAACACAAAACCGTCTCTGAAAAACCGAAGATTAACGAATCATCATCACAAATAGAAAAAGCAAAAATTTCCGTTTATTTTCTGCATGAAAAATATCAGACCACGTTCCAAAATATACATAGGAATTATATTCGTTATTTCATTCTCGAAATAAAAGAAGTTAGAGGTTTAAAATGGAAAACACTGGCACATTTTTCACCATGCGTTTTTGATTTCAAAATCTAAATACTATTTTTTATATTGAAATGATAAATACCAAAATAAATCTGTTATGAAAACAGTTTGTACTCAAAATTGTTCCTCCAACAGGTGTATAAAGTTCCTTTTCCTTTGTCCGATTAACACCCAAAAAAGTATTGTTTTTTAAAAGCAAACGCTCCACGGAAATCTGTGGCAATCTGCCTAGTGTTTTTCAGCCAAGAAAATAACCTCCGACACTGGGTCTAACGTCCTCACCCGCAGTGAAATATGTTGAACAAAAGCCAGCCGGCTGGAAATTTGTTAGTTTCTAGTATCAAGTAAAAACTTTCGTGTGATTCCAAGTTGTCCATCCTCAGCTGCCGAGTAGACTGGATTTTCTCACGCTATATGCATATGTATGTATATTAGGAAGCGAATATTTTTTCTGATAACCATGTAGAGTTTGTAATAGGGATCTTTTTTCTTTCTTTGTATGAACATTGTTTGGCCTCAGCTTCAGCCGAATCTGCGTACTCACTATTAGTGATTGCTAATGAGCTGGCTATACAGAGAACACTTAGAAAATTTTACAAGCTTAACGAGAAACGGGTGGAAAACTTGACATGCAAAGACCCAAAAACCTACTCCTAATTATTATTCAATTGGAAGCAGTGAAATAGGCTTCTGAAGTATTGTTATGAGAAGAATTTTATCATGATCCGCAAGGACCTTGAAACTAGTTCTTTTTGCCGTCTCACCTAATCTATCCTAAACAAACATAACCTAGTCAAATTACTCGCGTCTTTAAAATATATTTAAAAAACTACTTAACTTTTGGTCCTTTCGAGTTTTAAAGTTATTTTATATCTTGTAGTGCGTATCATAACTTTGCGACACTCATTGACAAGATTTCACTACTTATTTTATTATTATTTAAATTATTTTTTTATAAAAGTATTAATAAAGTGCAAGTTTAGGGTAGCTGGGACTTTCCTTTAATTTTTGGCTATGTTTTCGTTTGCTCAAGGTGTTGCTCATTTTCTCCATATACAAAAATCGTCGAACATACTTCGTATGGAAAAAAATGATTGACATCGTTAACAAAAAAATGTCCAAAAATCAACGGTAAGTCTCAACTATTTCAAACTTGCCCTTTATTGTACTAAAATTTAATGGGCTACAAAGCTACGTGCTCAAAATCTTTCTAAGAAATCTAATTAAAAAGGTCGACATTTTTACGAAAGTTTTTAAATTTTTTTTTATTTCGTACAAACACTGAAACTTGGATTTAAACTTTTTTTTTTAAATAAACTTAATGTTTATAAAAAGTAGCTAAAGTTAAAAAATTATAAAATAAATAGTCAAATCTTGTCAATGTGTGACTGTCATATAGTTATTATAAGCACTATATGTATGTATGTTTGTATAACTATCACAATTAACATAAAAAGCGTTGGGTATAAATTAAGCGTGTATATGAGTCGGAAGAAATTAATATGTTAAGAAATTGCTATTGTATTAAGAAATCCGAAAACATAGTTCAAAACCAAAAACACAAAAGTATACACAGCCAGCAATTATGCACCACAAAATCTCTCTATGGCTAATTTCATTATCTGCAACTTCATATGTATGTATGTATATGCAGTAGCCTCTACAAACATAATCTTGGCAAGTTTGAAAGTATTAAGGTTTATTTAAACAAGGTTCGCAAGATGAGGCTGTCACCAATTAAAAAAAAAAAATTAAAAAAAAAAATTTACAAAAAAAAATGAAATCAAAGAAAATTAAAACCACCTTAAATGAAAAAAAAAAAATTTGAAACCCCAAAAGCATAAAGTTGCAATAGACACACATTTAAATTTGACAATTTAAATTAACTAGTTAAGATTTATTTATTTAGGCATTTGAAAAG